AGAGAGAGAGAGAGGGACAAGCTGGTGAGTAGGTAGCCCATACGTAATTCAGTATCGTGAGGTTACGTAACGGGGCCTACGAGGAGAATTCTCAGCCGGTTGAACGTACTTGTGTGTGCGTGTGTTATGCGTGTGTAACGTGCTTACGTGTGCTTCATGTACGCGGTTGTCACCATTCTTTTTCTCTTTCTCTCCCGCGTAAACCGCGTGTTCACGCAATTCTTCGTGAGAAAGGTATATGTGAACTACATTACGTTCAAGAATGGGTTATAGATGAAATTGCACGGATCTCAAGCGGGGGAACAATTTAGTTGGATTAAACGTGAGACGATATCGAGGGGATGGAAAATTCGTTGATCCGATGTTGGCCGGCGTGAGTGTAAATGATAAAGTAAAGAGAGTCGCACACGTGTCCATTAGTCTCTAGTATCTATGGAGAATATCTCTAACCTGTCCTCGAACTCGAGCTATTTATTAAGGAAGTAAGATAAAAATGGATTAATTGAGTTAAACGAGTTAAATCAACATTCGTTCTTTTAGTATATACGTATATACTATATTATGCATTAATTATAACGACATCATAGATGAATTTTAATAACATCCTCATTGCGGCGGGCTAAACGACTCGATTCTATTAAAGTCCAAATTAAATTGAATAAACGATAAAAAAAGAAGGAGAAAACAAACAAAAAAAGATACAAAGATCTAAAATAGAAAAGGAGGGAAGGGTGGAGGGGGAGGGAGAAGAACAAAAGGTGGGCGAACGCTTATGAACGGATCGTGGTGTGTAACTGTATATGAGAAGTACATCGGTCTCTTTTACGCGAGCAGAACAAGAGGGCGAGCGGGCAGGCCGAGTGTGTTGGTGACCTTCGATGATAGCCGTGGGTGGGGAGGTTGGTCGAGTAGCTAAACTACGTTGGTGGGAAAGGAAGGGGCGAGAGAAGGAGAGAGAAAGAAATAGCGCGAGCGAGAGAGATGCGAGCGGGTCGGTAGGGAGACCCAGTTCGAGTTTGTTGAACCGGCCCGCCGGCGATTGGCCACACGAGTCGCGGAGTTCACTCTACTTGCCGAACGGAGGTAGGAGAAGGCGAGAGGAGGCGGTGGGGCGAAGTGGCAGGCCGCTCGGTTAATTTCATCTTGCCCCAGTTACGGGCCAGGCAGGGTGAACGAACTAGCCTCGCGCCAAGGCCCCACCGACCTACTTTCTTGTTCTATGGACCGCCGTGAGAGAAAGAGACCGAGACTCGCACTATGCCTCTCTATACAACGTGCCGAGTTCACGACGAGTTCAGGCCAAACAGAGAGAGACGAAACGGCCGCGAGAGGGAGAGGATACATGGAAGCGCACGAACGGGAGAGAGAGGGAATGGTGCGTGTATGTGTGTGTATCGGAGGGAGGGCACTGAACACTCCAGTGGGGTGGGAGCCCCACTAGAGAGGCTCACTATCTAGGCTAGAACCACGAGTAAAAAGAAGAGAGGGAAGATCGAGGCACGAGTGGGAGAGAGACAACGAAAATGAGAGACAGAGAGGGAGAAAAATTGCCGGAGCGCCGAGTGGAAGGCCGCCGACCGAGGGCAACGAACTAGCCTCGTCCCGGGCCCCGCGACCTACATTCCAACCCCGCTGGAAAGTGAAACCGCCTCTTTCTCTATTCCTTCCTACCTGAATCGTGATCTCTACGCTAGGTTAAGAATGTTTTTACGAGTCTATTATGATACGATAGATAAATTATACGCAATATACACGCGCGCAATCCTATAAATCGATTCGAGAAATCGAACGGTCGCCAACGAGCGGGAAAAAAATATACTCTCCCTTTCGTTCGACAAAAGCCTATGAAATTTTTTCGAAAGAGCACGGAACGCGGACAGAGGCTTGGGAATCAAAGGCTACTCACCGGCTAAAACTCGTCCCAACAGATTCTCGCTATCCTGGTGTGCACCGCGATAACAGATCTGGGCCGATTGTTCCTTTTCGTTGTCCAGAGGTTCACTAGACGGTGACAAAATATCACCGGACGGTTGTTGTTCCTCGGCACTGCTGCCACGAGGCTTGAATTCTTGCACGGTCATTTCTTGTCACGACAGTCTGCCGCGATTGTTACACTCTCTTCCGTTTTCCCGCTCTTTTACTTCTTTACTTAACCTTCTTGTTCTTCTCAAACGATTGTCAATGACAATTTTATTCCAATAGTCCTACCGACAATCTCACGTGTAAACAAACTTGAGGCTGACATAACACGACTCTCCATGCAACCGTAAAAATTTGAATCGCAAACCGTCAACGACGCTATCTACTTCAATCCTCTTATTGACAACTTCACTCCGTTTCTATCTCTGTCGAGACGCAACCACGCAATACCGGCACGAGACACCGGCGAAAAAACTCGCGAGTTTGTTTTGATCAGTCTTCTCTTACTGCGTATAATACAATTACGCTTCCTCTTTCTAGCAACGACACACTTTCTTTTCGCGCGCACAACACACGATTACCACGACGATACGATCTGTTGCTTTCCAATGGCGTGGTTCTCGCGGTAACTGCAAATCGAAGCTTGTTACAACGTTATTAGTTGATGTGTTGTGTGTGGCGTGCGATGCGGTGCGCGAGTGAGTTCGTCGCGGCGTGGCGTGCCGCGGCTTCGCGGCGCCTGCGCGCTACACCGCTGATTGGCATTCGCGTAGCGTCGCGCGCTGGCGCCCCACGATTTATTTTCATCGCAATTTTTCCATATTTGCAATTTATATCGCGATTAATATTACATATTTTATAAATACGTTGCAATATTAATTTTAATACACGTATAACGATCCTATTTATATATTAAACACGTAAAACACGCGCTTAATATTTCGCGATATACTTTTTCAATGAAAATGTTATCGTACGAGGTAATTTGCGATTTTTTGCCGTGTTATTCGTTTTGTCACGATCCCATCGAAGTGTTTGAACGACTGTCATTCGGAAAATCGTGGATCTAATTACATCAAATATTGATATATTTATTCCATGTATCGCTCGCCTTTCGAAAAGATATTTTTATTATTTCTCAAGATTGCAATCATGCATATATTATTCGCAACAAGGAAATCTGTTTAAATATTCAAGTTAAAAATTACGTCCAATACATTTGAAATAGCACGCGTTCGAGGAAGTACGATTCCATTTTATTTATCGATCTAAAAGTTCTCGGATCAAATCGAATACGAATTTCATTTCAGAAAGGGTGAATTTTCTATAGAGAGAACACAAAACAAACTTATCAGGCACGATGTTAAGCCACGATGGTATATCCTCAAAGCGATCGGCTCGTTCCTACGACCAATTGGCACGGTTGACCCGTCATTAGGATCAAGGATTTTTATCGGTAGTACGAAGAGGCTTGGCCTAGCCTTTATTATGCGTACACGCGTGCACGATGACGAAGAGACGGCGTCGTAAAGTCACACGTTATAACCCGTTGAGAGAACAAAAGTAAATTTGTAGTCAAGGACCACCATGAAATAGTCGGTCCTATTTTACGCGTTTCAACCTCGCGCCAAATATGAAACCAACATGAAATTCTATGTTACTATAAACGACGCCACGAGACATTTTTTTCACGATCAAGCACATTAAGAATTAAGCAAGTCGCTTCTAATCAAACACGCTTCGAAACAAACGTATAATCCTATCTGGGAAATTTATCGAATGACGCCTAACGATGGTGCCCGAGCATACGCTCCTGATCTGTGTGATACACAATCAGAGAATATACTGTTGACTCACTAACACTCGGTGAGTGAAAGCTGTTTAACCCCTGTGACAGACACGTACACACGTGGTACGTGTACACGACTTCACACTTCCACGTGGCCTACGGAAAGTAGAAGTTGGATCACAGGTGAATGGAATACCTATACACTATTATATACCTAACGGAACTTCCCTAATCCAGCTCCCACCTAAGTCGGGACTAACCTGCCTCAATTGTAGTTCGTTACTCCATTGTTTCTATTTCTATTATATAACATCGAGTGTATCGTTGAATTTCGAATGATTTTGTCTACGAGGACGATGACACGAGATTTTGGTTAATCAATAATGATACGACATTTTTCTCTATCTGATTTGACAAATGTGTGATTTGGTTTGAAAATGAAAAGATGATATCAGGAATTCGTTATCAACTGGGATCCACACAGGTGGTGATAAGTCGTTTGAATATCAAAGTTCGTCACGTTTATCAGGGAGAATTTTTTAGATTATTAATACATCCCTTTGTTCATCTTTCTCTAAATTATTTATTCCTCCTTGTAATTGATCGCCTTTTGCAATTCGTTTCAATTTGGCCTTGCTCCTCTTACTCTCCTTTGTTTCTTATACCAAAAGTGTGTCATCGTTTGCGACAAATTTATCCGTTTATTTCTTTTCTTCTTCCGACAGTTTAATAACATTTCGAGCAATATGAGAAGAGATGATAGGCGATGATTTAAACTTGAAGAGCTTGATGTTTTCCCCCGGATGAAATTTGGATTAAATAAAGCGGCATTCATAATCCACGACGGAAGGTTGAATCTAAATTGACGCAAACTGGGCGCAGTCCAAGCCTAACCTGCCCTAACTACGGGCCTTGAATAAACAGTTAATGTGGCGTGGCCAGTGTGACGGATGTCGTCTAACGGGAATAATTCTCTAGCGCCACTTGGATTCCTTTCTGAATCGAACCTCCACTCTCACTTTCGTTTCCTCTTCCCATCCAATTTGTTAATCCGTTCATAAAATTGAATAAAAATTAAAAAAAGATTAGAGATTATTGAAATAAAACGAAATATTTCGTATTTTATGAGTCTTGGCAAGTTTAAACGTCTCTACCTTTTATTGAAAAAGAAAAATTTTCGAAAGTTTTCACTTTCACAAGTTTCCTTCGTTTCCTATTTATATAAAATTTATAAATCGATTTATTAAAGTAAAAAAAATAATAAAAATATTGGAATATTTTGTTTAAGTTACATTACAAGTTAAATATTTGTTAGCCAACGATCGATAGCAGATTGATTTCGAATTTAAAATAGGACAAAAGTCAAGAGATAGGTTAATTGTTTTTACTTGAAAGGCTATACTAAAGTAATTCGTGCAATTTTATCGGACGACTTCTATCCACGTCTAGATCATGGTCATCGTGTAAATCTGCTAAACGGTTCGAATTGGACGTATTACTATAGACTGTCAAGACACGACATGACTATTCTAAATATAATCGAAGCCCGACCTACCCTAACTGTGCGGCTCGTGACCATAGAGGCATGCCATGATTGAGCTCAAACGTTCAAGGAGATTAATTTCCAACCACGATTACGATTAGTGCTCCCTGCGCGTTTGTCACTTTCAACATTTAACGATCGTTAAATTGTCGAAATCTAAATTTATAAAATGCCTGGATTAAATCGAATTTTATTAGAAAATAAAAAAAAAAAAAAATCAAACGTAGATCAAAAAAGATCAATCGAAATATTTTGATCCTATTTTGATCGAAATCAAAATTTGCAGAAAAGGGAAACGAAATTCTGAATCTAAATCGTTATTACTTTTTTTTACGAATGAAATTTTTACTTGAGATATTAAATAAAGAATCGAAAAAAAAAAAATCATAATGGAATCTGTAAAAGGAAAAAACTTTCGACTCGCGAAATTATCAAAAAAAATTCGATTCAAACCACACGATAAAACAAAGGGGAAAGATGGAAGGAATGGAAAGCTCGATAAATTTAAGAACGTTGAACGTTCCTTTTTCCTCTTTGTCTCTCGTTGAAAGCAGCGAGATTTGAGCTGCTTGTTATTATCCTGAATCCCCTTTGCTGCACGAGCAACAGGGAAGATTTATTAGTAGTTTGGGATCCCGATATTCCACGGCGAAGCGTATAATCGACCCGACTCTACCTGGAACACCTGTTAGCTAATCTGTCTGTTCGTCGAGACTTCGATTGCTTCGTGGAAAAGAAGAAAAAAAGGAGGGGGAAGAAGGAAGAGAAGAAAAAGCACAAGATTCAGAGATTGGAGGGAAAAAGTTTCCCTCCTCGACTCGTTCTGTAAACTTCTCTCGAAAAATCTTCGTTCCCTCGCAGAGCGGAAATGAGAGAAACGTTTCGATGAACGTTCCTACGGGAGGGATGATTTCTCTCTTTCTGGATCAAAAAAAAAAAAGAAAAGAAAAGGATTCTTTTCACGCTAAAAATTAATTTCAAACCCTAATTTCTCGAGATTAGTCTCAGAAAGTCAAGAGGAGTTAAATAGGAGTTATACATTTCTTAATAAACGCTGTTGTGCGTTAAGTAAGTAATTTTCAAAAAAATAGCGTCTAATTTTACTTTCAAACGTTTAAATTCATAAATATTCGACGAAGCGCTCTTGAAATTGGATTTTGGAAGGATTGGCCGCGATAGAAGGATCAACCAGCGTGCAAGGAGAAACAAATGGACGAGGGATAAATAATTTTGTAAAAGAGGGAAGACAGGAGGGGGGAGGGAATAATTGAAAGGTATTAATGATGCTATTTCACGCGATAAGATAGCGATGAATTGGCACGATAATGAACGGTGAATCAACCTTCCTGAATGCCTGATTACCGATTATGTGTCTTCGCGTTCGCATCGATGTCACGTTCGATTGATGTAATATGTTAATAGCGTAGATAATGGAAATTTGCTACGATTTATTGGACAGGATTTATATATTAGCAAGCATTTTCTTTCGTTTGGATTTGAATTCAAGCGATAGAATTTAACAGAATTTCTTTTTACTGAATCTCTCTCTCTTTTTTTTTCTTCACCTTCACGCACGCTAGCAATAAATAATCGTAATACGCACAGTTTTTATTGCATAAGAAGGATCAAGAACGCGTGTAAATAAAAAAAAAAAAGAAAAACAAAAAGGAAAAAAGAGGAGAACAGTTTAAATCTGAGATACAACAGTTCTATAAATTGCTTACCTGGAAAAACCGAAAAATCTTTAGCCTCGGAGGTTAAACTCGGTTAAACCTCGAAGCAATTTTCCAATTTTCTTTGCAAAGGAGAACTCCCGCGTCTTTTCGAGAAAACGGGAAATTCCAAAATTTTCAACGCCCACCAGGGAAGAATCCGGGAATTCAAAGTCGTCGGGAAACAAGGGAATTTACGAACGGTTATCGGAGTCAAGTGGTTACGGGGTTGCGGCCAAATTTTATGGCTGCGGTTTTCGCACTTTCTTCCTCGCTGAATCGAACGCGATCGTAAATTTCGAGGAAACACGTTACGCAACCGTAAATCACTTGTAAAAAAAGATTTTCCTCCATCCATTTCGTTTCTGGATTCGATATTCAGTTCGGACAAATTTGTCTTGTAATTCAAACAGAAAGAATTGCATCTTCTCTCTCTTTCTCCCTCTCTCTCTCTGTTTTTGGATCAAAGATGAAATTGCTTTTGCAAAGAAGATAGAAAACGATCGATTCGGATGATTAACGTTAAATCAAGTATTTCGATATTTTAATCCATTCCAATCTTCTTTCTCTAATGAAATATTCCCTTCCTCCCCCCCCCCCTCTTCTTTTTTTCTATTATACACTCCAATCTATAAATCTTTCCAACTCGATTAAGAAATAATCGCAGGTTACACAATTTGGAGAACAAGAAATTCGCGTGCGCGGGACAAGTGTCGAGGAAATTTGCATAAAAATTTCCCAAGAAAATTGAAACGGCGCTATCGATAATTGCTCGAATGGAATCGTGAGCCAATCCTCC